ACACAAGCAGCGCCAATGAAATGGGTATTTTTGTTCTGGCAGAGGAAGGGGGTTGCAACCATCTTGTCCTTCCCGTGTCACTAAGGTTAAGGAGGCTTTAGGCTGCAGGTGATGGTGGGCCATTTTGAAAGTGTGAGGTTTCCCACAGTGAAGCTTGGTGTCCTCTCTCTGCCATAGCTACCGTTTGCAGTTCGTAGGAATGTAGCATGGTTTAGACCCATTTTAGGTTCCACTGTGCATTCAGTTGTAACACTCAAGTTCATGCTTACATATTTGTCTGATCTCATGCATTTAAGTCCACATAAGTTATTTCAGCGTTAGTCCATAGAGCAGGGGTGTCAAATTGATGGAGTCCCCTGGGTTGGATCCGTACCATGGGGCTCCTGGCAGTATCTGAGTGAGCAGTAGCAATGGAGTGAACAGTAGTGGGAGGATAAGTAGGGGGTGCAAATGGCAGTAGCATAGTGAACAGTTGTGGGGCAAATGATGGTAGTGAATCATAGAAAACGGGGGTTGGAAGGGACCTCAGGAGGTCATCCAGTCAACATTTATCATCCTGTGGATCCTAAGAATATATTAAAGGGTCGCAAACAAAATTTAAAAATGGATTCTCTGAGAAAAATATGGGAAATGGTGGCAGAGTTCCAGCCTGCAAGGGGCTGCTTGGGCTACCCATGTCCCACACATACCTGCCCCATCCCTCACACTGGGCCTGGGGTGGGCAGCAGCAGGTTAGGAGTGAGGTTCACTGGGTCAGGACTAGCCATCAATGTTTTCAAATGGGTTCTAGTACAAAAAAGGTTGAGAACCACTGATCTAGTCCAACCCCTGCTCAAAGTAGGGCCAGCCCCCACTAGATCATCCCAGCCAAGGTTTTGTCTAGCCAGGTCTTAAACCTCCAAGGATGGAGATTCCACAAACTCTCTGGGTAACCTGTTTCAGTGTTTTACTACCCTCCTAGTGAGAAAATTCTTCCTAATATTTAACTTATACTTCCCTTGCTGGAGCTTGAGACCATTGCTCCTTCTTCTGTCATCTGCCACCACTGAGAACAGTCCAGCTCCATCCTCTTTGGAACCTCCCTTCAGGTAGTTGAAGGCTGCTGTTAAATCCCCCCTCAGTCTTCTCTTCTCCAGACTAAATAAGCCCAGTTCCCTAATCCTCTCCTCATAAGCCATGTCCCCCAGTCCCCTCACCATTTTTGTTGCCCTGTGCTGGACTCTCCAATTTGTCCACATCTTTTCTGTAGTGGGGGGGGAGCCAAAACTGAACATAGTCCTCCAGATGTGGCTTCACCAGTGCTGAATAGAGGGCAATTATCACTTCCCTTGTCCTGCTGCCAACATTTCTACCAATGCTGTGCAGTATGCCATTAGCCTTCTTGGCAACAAGGGTACACAGCTGGCTCATATTCAACTTATTGTCCAGTGTCACCTCAGGGCCTTTTCTGCAGAGCTGCTGCCCAGCCAATCGGTTCACAGCCTGTACCAGTGCATGGGATTGTTTTGCCCTTAGTGGGGCAAGTAACACTGTGCACAGCCTTGCTTCCCCCCTGCCGGTGGGCATCCCGAGTGGGGCCTTGTAACTCTGATTTCTGCAGCAGGCTCCACCCCTGAATTTCTGGGCCTGCCTGGAGCCCCCAAAGACAGGCTGTGTGTTTGACATCCCTGTAATGGTGTATCTTTTTTCACCAATTGTCTAGCTCTTGTTTCACACAAGCTGTTGTTAACTTCTTTCCCCCAAGGCATCATCACATGCACCACTCATGTCCCTGATCTGCTTTGGAATGCTATTGTTTGCATTGCATTTGGCACAGATACATTTAACAGGCTGGCGTAAGTCTCTCTTTCTTTTTTTTTTTTTTTTAAATTGGCACTGCTGTTGGTACTGCTGAATAGTCAGAATAATATAATCTACCATCTATCTTCTAAGTGATTGGCTTGATGATTGTGCCTTCCCTGCCATTAAGCTTTCCCAGTAACATATCAGAGAATATATTTAGAATGTTATGGATTCAAAATATCAGTCCTGTGCTACTTCTCAGAATATAAGTACCTGGCATTAAAATAGAACAGCTGTTCGCATTCGGTTAGTCTGAAGTGTTTGCTGTGGCGAGCCATCTTTCCTACAGCGTCTTCTACTAAATAGTTAGTCGTAGCGCACATTTTTTTAAACATTTGAAAACAGAGCAAACGTTATTTTAAAACTAACTGGGTTTAGCTGCATATGAAATAGTTGTCTGATTTATAGATCTGCTTTCAGGCTATCTATAGGCTTCTTTAAAGCACCATTTCCATTAACTTGGGCCAGCTGCTACCTGTTGGAATGCTGAACACCTTTCATACCTGTTTCTTGTTAACTCTTTGAGAAAAAAGTTTTAATATTCTAGACGTGCTTGGTATCAGTCCAGACTTTGTACGTCATGCTTCAGTCAGTAAGTTGGGCAGGGAGGAAAAGTTACTAACTACTCAGGAAGACCATGATGAGAAATAAGGGAATGAAATATTTCTTTGTTACTATACTTGTCTTAATTTTTGTGAGAATACATGCACGTTTTAAACATCCTACCTTAAGTTTTTGCAGCAGCTATCCTTACCCACTAGGAAAGCATTGATGGCTTTTCTTGTGTGTGTGTTATGCTGTTTGTATCCCTATTCAGACTTTCTGCCCATGTACAAAGACATTCTCAAGTCTGTGCATGGAGAAGGGAAATGTTAACCGGTTTTTTACCTCACTGACACGAAGGCTTAGGAAAACATGTCGCGTGATTATGCATGTTACAGTTATTAATCCTGCAGGGATGCATTTTTGCCATGTGCACTAATGTGAAGTTGTGTATGGCTGCCGAGCAGTTATCTAACAACTTCCAATCTTAGGCAGGAATTCAAGTGTAATTATTCAGCTGAAGAGCTGCCATTCAGGCAAAGGTCATTTTGTAGATTCTGGCTTTTTAGGCAACTTTGACTTACAAGCCAACTGTTCATGTGGTTTTCTGAGTCTAGCTTCATTAAGATTGAACTGCTTAAGTGACTTGAATTACTTGATACACCATCATATTCAAAGCCGAGCTTTAAATAAGAGGCTAGCTGTTATCAGTGTATGTGATGGACATGGACTAGGGGGTGCTGCTTAACTTAGTTATCAAACATCTGGACTCTAAAAAATAGTTATTCATCTTAACTTCACTTAATCACCTGGCTGCCTTATTTGAGAAACATTGCTAAACCACAGGGAAAGTGTTGCCTTGGCAAAGCAGGAACAGATTCATTAGACTCTGATTGTGATGAAAGTTTCTACAGGCATATCACTGTAAATATAGAGTACAGTATTATTTTTTCATAATGGATCAGTTCTTTAGGCATGGACTTCTGTGGAGTAACAAAAGAGGGTATGTGTGTGATTGCTTTAGCCAACATGCACAATTCACCCATTTCTTGTCTAGTCATTCTTTGTTTATGAGAACCATGGTAAGGAGCTCTCGCTTTATAGTTCAGATTTTTTGGATTTTTTTTCCAAACCATAATGCAATTACTACCTAAGCAATTTCCAAAGTAGGTACTGGTCCATGACCTGTTTGGAGCTCATGTGCTATGCTAGCAGGCACACGTATAAACAAGAAAGTCACTATTTGTATTGACAGGATTTAATTTAGTTTATTTTGTAATGTGTCATTTGCGACACAGGAGAAGTGCTGTTAGAGAAAACTCTATTTTCTGTACGCTTCTCAGACTCAGGAATTTTCTTTTGACCTTCCTTGTGGCTTGACTTCCTTTTTTTCTACTGCTGAGGTTGCAAAAATGCCATGGAGGCACTTTTCAAAAGACACTAGATGCTGACAGAGGTGAAGAGGAGCTTTAGGCTGTCCCTCAGCACAGCCTGGTAGCTTCAACCGTCTGAGGTTTCTGCTTTGAAGCACGTGTTGCAACCATTAAGAAATCATGACTCTTGTCAGAAGAGAGTTAACAGACCTGTGAATTTTTTACCATCACGTGCTGTTTACGATCATCTGGCATATAACACCAAATTAAGACAGCCAGCAAGGTTTGCATAACTGAACAACTATTGTAAAACATTTTGCATAAGAATCTAACCAGTATGGGTTTAGCTGGTTGGTTCAAGTGGTATATTTTGGAAATTGCCCATTTCCTGCACTTTGGTCAAATATAAACTAAAATTAGGGGCTAAAAATATAAAAATAATGCAGTATTGGCATATGGGATGCAGTAAGAAATGCCCTTTGTTTACAGACCTTCATTTCCCTTTGCTGATTTAAGTTTCTGTCCTGTTTTAAAACACTGTCATTTGAAATGTCTGTTGCATTTCCACTTTGGCAAGCTAAGTTGCCATTAGGAGGAGGAGATGGAGAGTTAGTGTGTTATAAAGTTTTACTTAGTGATCCAAGAAGAGGGCTGGGGGACCAGGACTCTAGGGTTCCCTGTTTAACTGGCCTAGTGGGGTTGGTTTGTTTGTTTGTTTGTGTTTTTTGATCTGATACTTCTCCTTTCTGTGCCTTGTGTTTAGTGGAGTGTTGCACTATTCACTTTTGACCTCCTCGGGGGGGGTCAGGGTTTTGTTTGCTTTTATTGGGAAGGAAGTACATTTTGTATCCTAGTAACTGGAATTTGAAAATAATAAAAATGATATTTGAAGATTTTATTTCATTAAAGTACTTAAGAAGAGATGCTAATCAGTTTTAGGGTCAGTTTATTAATGAATGATTATCATTCTTCTTTATTCCCCCACTTTGCTTTCTTTGTTTACGGTATAGGCTCTGTAAGTCAGGGGCTTTCTTTTGCTGTATGTTGGTACCATGCAGGTTGGAACAGGGTTTCAATCTCAGTTGACTCCAGACACTACAATAGTTCAGTAATATGTATGGAGACAGATCATTCCTATAATTTAAGACAGAACTGAGGTGTCTGAGGATTTGTGATTTGTTCAAACCATTTCTTTTGTATGTACCAAACTAGCAAACGTTCTGTGTTATCATATTTAATTATGCTGAAGGGGTAAATAATAGGGACACTTAAATATCTAAACTTCTTTTTATTTTATTAGATACGTGGGGAACTTGTCAAGAGATGTGACAGAAGCCCTGATTCTCCAGCTGTTCAGTCAGATTGGACCGTGCAAAAATTGCAAAATGATCATGGATGTAAGAGTCTCTTCTTTGTCTAGCTGTTTGCCTTTTTGTAGCATAGCAGCCTTTTAAAGCATTCCCCAAAGCTTAACTTTTCATAATCTTCCTGGAAAACTCGCTTGATTATAAAGGAGGGTCCTGGGAAGCATAATGGCCTGTTAAAGCAAATTTCAGCATCATTTTTGTTACTGTATAATGATGGGTAGGTTGTTTTTAGGGGCAGAGCAGTTTATTTAGCTGCAAACATTTGTTTGTTTTACTTCAACGGGATCTTATTTAAAAAACAAAAGAAACCAAATGCAAGCATGCTAAGAAAGCATGGCTTTAAGAAGTTTTTTTTCCTGTACATTTCATCTCAATTACTAAGTCTCTCAGATGTAGAAGCAGATGCCAAATACAGTTAGTCAAATCTGAAGGGGTTTTAATAACCTGCTTTTCAAACAGACGGCTGGAAATGATCCATACTGTTTTGTGGAATTTTATGAGCATCGACATGCAGCTTCAGCACTAGCAGCTATGAATGGACGGAAGATAATGGGTAAGGTAAGCTATCATGTTTAAAGGGTGAGTTGTGGTGGAAGTGTGTGTGTTGATATATTAAATGATGTGCATGAAATATCTCTTTAGACAAAACCAGAACTGTATCACAAGTTAAACACTTTGTTGTGTTTTGTTAGTTATATAACATTAGAACTTAATGCGAGTCTTCCCCCCACCCCATTCTGGTGGTAAAGCTGAATGCTCGCTACGGGAAGAGTTGAGTAGAGCTGCATGTGAGACTAATCACTCTCTCATCCCACCACTACCAAAATCCTTCCCATCATTGCTGTTCCCTCTGCACCCTCTTTCATCTTTCACCTGCAACAACCCCAATGCGCTTAAATCCTGCCCTGGGGAAAGAATCTTACCCCTGCCCACTTCCTCCTGCTAGTATGTTGACAGCCCTCAGAGGTATCCCGCTTCTGTTGTACAGTTCCAATTGAGAGGAAGGCTGGGGTTCATAAATGGGAGGGAACAGAGAGTCAAAAATGTCATAATAAATATCTTACTTTCACTCATCTTGAGAGTAAGAGACCAGCAGAGTAAGATTACTCAAAAGAAAGTTACCTTTGCTGTGGAATGATTTAATATATCTTGACAGAGAACATAATAGTCTAAGGAACTGGAACTTCTCAGCTATTTTTTTTAATCACAGACTGATGTATCTTGTGTCCCTGCAGTATAAGAAATGAATGCTAATAATCTTTGAATTTGGTTGGAATATACTTAATGTAACTTTAGCAAATAATATTTGCAGGAAGTCAAAGTGAACTGGGCAACAACCCCCAGCAGCCAGAAGAAAGATACCAGCAGTAAGTGTCCCTTATGCTTTGAGTAATTGCTTTGTTTGCACAAATAGTTTTTAAGTATAAGCCATAAGCACCATACAAATGTTTGCAGTAATGTTTTGATCGTTATCCTAAGATATTATTTAATGTGTTTGTGTTAATAAACTTAAGAACAAATCTAATCTTTGTCATCAGGTAGTACCGTTGTCAACACACAGCGTTCACAAGGTAATTGTATCTTCTTAAACATAAAATGAAATCTCTCAAGGGTTTCCACTAATCACCCAAAGCTATATATGGGTTTTATGTTCTGTTGTTTTAGTTTTGGTAAGGCCTCCCTCTCCTTTCCTATTATTGCATCAGAATGTGATCTAGTAGCCACTGTTTCACTCTGGTGCTGCCTCCTTAGCCATTTGGCCCCATCTGTCATGACTTCTAGAGTTTTCTTTCACTGTAAGGGCAAGATTATTAGCTTTCTTCAAGGCTGCTGTCTGTGCTGCTCCATACAAGAGTAACTAAACGGCTCTTGAAATTGGGTTTGTTCGTTTCTTCTTTTCATCCCTCTTCATGGCAACCCAGTGTGTTGCTTCTCTACTTAGTCAGCCTTAAACTACTTTTAAAATGTTGGGTTTTACTGAGCTACTGTTGCAGTAGGCTTATGTTACCTGTCTGCTTTTATACAAATGAGTCTGTGTAGTATTAAAAGTGCTCTATGAAAAAATGTTTAAAAAATGCAAAAACTCCTTAGATAAGGGATTTTTATTTCTCTCCAGTGCTCTTTATAATCGCTCTGACATAAATTGAAGGGATTACTGTTTCCGTTCTGTTGCCTTCAGTCTTAGTTCACTTGCACATGGATTCACATACATTGAATTCACATGGATTCACATGGTCTAATGGCTGGGCAACCAAAACTGTTGGCTTTTGAGAAAACTGTCATATTCTTTAACATCAAACTGTTGCAATGCAAGGTATTTCTTTGATTGTTCTTCACAAAATATGATTTAAGCCAAACGTTGTAGCTAGGTTTAATAGCTGTCCTGCTTGGAGCAAATTTTTTCTACTTTGCTCACAAAGCCACTGGACATTTCATTTGGTAAAGTTTTGCCTAATTAATGAGCTGTATATAACATTTAACTTTAACATTAGCATGGCAATACTAAGATTTTGAAGTAAACTTTTTCTATGAAGTAAACATTTACATGTGTTTTATAGCAAAATGGTGACTGGTTATGAACACAACTGTAAAAATACCAACATCAAATTAAAGACTTGTGTCATCACAGCAGTATCCTTAAGACTGTTGCTGTAAGGTCACCAAGTGATGGCTCTATTAGAAACAGTGATAAGGATTTTTCAAAGTATTTTAGAGAAAAAGGATGCTAGTTTTTGTGTGTCTCAATATATGGAAGCTGATATAATGTGAAATTGCTATGCTGCTACTGTCACTGGGAATAGTCTTCAAATTTGTAAATCACTTTTTTTCTTTTTCCCAATAAGACCATTTCCATGTCTTTGTTGGAGACCTCAGTCCAGAAATTACCACTGAAGATATAAAAGCAGCTTTTGCGCCATTTGGGAGAATATCGTAAGTAATTGCATAGGGCAGATCAAATAAACATGCCTCTTAACTGGAGACGAGCTTGTGTTTCAGTAAGTAAACATTCATTCAGTTTTTAAAACCCCTGCAACGCTGGAGTATACATTTAATCTTTCGTTCCTAAAGAGACTTGAGTTGAGGAGGAAGCAGAGGTGCATAAATAGGCTCATCTACTGGCACTTTGATCTGCTTCATTAGAAAAATTACATATTTACCTTCTTTTTTTGTTCACATTGCAGAAATTCCTGTCTAACTCAGAATTTCATACTGGAAGCTTTTTGCTTGTAACCATGGGTTATACATTTTATTCACCACTGACAATCAGATGTGTAATGATTCCTAATAGTAGTTTAATAGGAATCTAATTCTATTTGCATATTGAGCTCCTGTCAGACTTCAATTTTTGGTTGATAGTCTAGATGTGTTAAACAAGTGTTCTGTCAAGTAAGTAGTCAGTTATAGTTCTACTTAAATCATTTTATTGGCTGGTGGCTTAATACCCACCTTGTGGCAATGCAAAGACCATGATGAGGTTAGGCTTATACTGGACTTTTTTAACGTAAGTCCCTATAACAAAGGAGCATGTAGTCTCAAAGATGGGATCTCTTGGGTGGATGATGCAGGTGACGTGAGGCAACAAGGAAAATGGCCTGTGTGAAATCATGGGTGATTGATAATAGAAGTTGTAGCTCTCTACTGCAGTGTTTTACAGTTGTCACATTCAGTGTTTGCTGTAAAGCTTGAATTTTTTACTGTTTTTTCAGAGCTGAAGAGGTCTGTTTGTTCCTAACTTTAAACAACTTTTTGATTCCCTGTAATGCTAATTATACTGGGCCTGATGCTTTGTGATAACAAGCAGAGTACTTTGAAACATTTCATCAGAATAACTTTTCTCACAAAATCCACTGTATTAGACTAGTGATTCTCAGCCAGGACTCTGAGTCACCCTGGGGTGCCACCAGATCCTTTGAAGAGTGCCACAAGGTGTGAGGAGATAAGCAGATAGGCTAAGCAGAAAAGCCATGCTCAGGGTTGTCCCTGTTTGGATGATCCCCCTATCCTGGCTGCCCAGCCCCTGTGTAAGAAGGTAAACACTCTAATATATCCATTTGTTTTTGAAATAGGATGCCACTTCATTCAAAAAAGGTATGGGGGAGTACCTCCAGCCCAGTGAGGGGTCGCTTCAGTCCAAAAAGGTTGAGAAACACTGCCTTAGATTTGACACCTGCTTGATTTCCTGTTATGGGAATTAAGAAAAACAGATCTGGAGATCCTTGCGTCAGAGAATGCTACCTTTGCACGGATCACATAGTTTTAGTTAGTGTCATGCTATAAATGAACATGTGCACTCTTGGATAGCTGAGGGGGTCTGGTCATTTCTAAAATAGATCCACAGTCAGAAGAATGAAATGTGGGAAAGATTTCCCTGAAACTCTGAAAGAGGTTTTGTATAAACTAGCTGACCCTTCAATAATTTGTGGATGACCATTGTATGAATAGGGCAGTTCTGATGATTGTTTTAAAGTGCAGCCTTAAGCAAAGAGTTTGGCTGTCCTGAACTGGAACTGAAACTTCATAAGAGCTCTTAAAGCATGCAGGATTTCTGGGCTTTTCTTTGTGTTCCAGGAAGTTTCTGGATAGTTTTGAATCGCACTGTAGTGATAGAGCATTTTTATCCAGATTCTAAGGTTTTTCTTCAGTCATCTTTAAAATACTTTGCGTGAGTGACTCTTATAGCTTTCCTCTGTGGGGTCTTCAGGGCACAGTTGTAGGACTAACTGGCTGAATTGTCATGTCTGCAGAACTTCTACAGATTGTCTTGGCTGGGGCTAATTTGTCAGAAAACTAAATGGAATATTGTTTTACCCAATGAAAATAATTGATTTAAAATCCTAGCTCTAGGGGATTTTGTCAGTTGTTGCTGTCATGTAGGAAGGGGTTAGTTGCAGGAGAGTGGAACTTTATAGTTACTAGGTTCAATTTGAAGATATCCATGCTGTTTACAGAAAGAAAAAGGGAGATTTCAAGTCTTAAATATAACTCGTCTTGGTTAACAGCTATTTTCTGGAAATGTGGTGGGTATTGGTGTGGTTTTGTTTGTTTGTTTGCTTTTTTATTTTGATATCTTGATTGTTTTTGATTAAATGTCTTCCTTTATAAAATTCAAGGTGAACTAATAATGCATGATCAGCATATAAGTATTTTTGGTAACTTTTTTCTATCTTTTTTATGCGCACATACATACATTTCAATTGCGATCTCCCTTTTAAACTTGATATATGCATGTTTTCACTTGTTCTCAAGTCTTATTTTCTAAGTTTTCAGTTGAGGGTAAGTATAGACTAGTTTTTTTTCCCCCCTCTTTTAGGCTGTTCAGAGAAACTGATCTAATAAAATTATACAGATGTCTGTTCTCAGGCAATTTGTAACATATTACCCATACTCAAGCGTTTTGATTGGAAAAAAGAATAAGCAGTGTAATTCTTGTTGTTTCAAAAAGGGCTAAGCTATTTTTCTTTTTGTAGTGTCTGGAAGTGGTCTTTTACTTTGGCCTTTCAGTGATCTACAAAGCCTGTGGACGTGTGGGAAAGTATTAGGATTTTAATATAGATTGTAATTACTGTAATTTCCAAGGGGAAAAAACTCGTCTCATAAAAGCCTTATATCCTCTTTTTTGCCCTGCTAAGTGTTTTGCACATTTTACACGAGTTGATCTGAACCATCTCATTTTATGAAGCTTTAAAGCTACATTGCATGACTTCCTGACTGTTTTGATTTGTCTTGTTTTATCAGAAGTGCCTGTGTGTGTGGGGATAAGGGAGGGCAGGGTAAGGTAACACATGTGGGTTAACATCTTGATACTTGGCTAACTTGTACACAAATCGCCTGAGAAACACAATTTAATTAGACATTCTGCAAGTGGGGTTTAGCTATTGTAGCTGGGTCTCTCTTATTTTTTCACTCAATCTCAAATAATAGGGCTCTGGTTATTTTGCAGAGTGTCTCTGAAGAATGGACAGAATTGCCATGGCTAACTACAAGCTACAGTTCACAGTGGACAAACGTTGTAGTTTTCTTATTTACTTTTATACATTTTTGCTCTTTATCTTTTGTAGTTTTCAATCAATCTTGTATGATTGCTGTTTACAAATGCAGTTTAAAGTTATATTAGTATATAGTTTAAAACGTAAATGTTTTTAGTGTTTTATTTTCTTCAATAATGCAACCATTTCTGAAAATGTTGATTTTTCAAAATTTACAGCTGCCCACAGTCCAAAAAGGGGGTAACGAATTGACCTGAGAAAATTAAAGAATTCAGTTAACAGGCGACGTATGCCTTTTAATTCCTATTTTTTCATTTTTTCTCTTTTATATTTTTAATGAATAGGTAGAATGTGTTGGCAAATAGCAAGTTTAAAACTGCGTGGTTAAAGAGAGCCATTCAGCTAATGTTAGTCAGCTTTGTGGCTTTAGTGATTCATTTGAATAGCTGCTTTGACCATGCTTAGTGTCTTAACAGTATGTAAACGCACTTTGAACTGGGAACCAACTTTTGTAACATTTACATTTATTAGAGAAGCTATTGATTTGCATGTTTACAAAATTAAGTTTAATTTTGCTACTACATAACAAGAAATTAGTTAAATTCTGTTTAGAAAAGGAGAAAATTGTTTTGAATGTGTTGCTGGCACATTAAAGAGTTCACTTAAATAGAAGGTGAAAGATGAAAATGTGCTGTGTGTGTGACTTAAATTTTCATTTTATTGTTGTATATTTTTAAAAACATTCTAAACTGGCAATTGCTTCTGCTTTTTAGAGATGCACGGGTGGTGAAAGATATGGCAACAGGAAAATCCAAAGGATATGGCTTTGTTTCTTTCTTCAATAAATGGGTAAGTAACAGTATTATAGAACCAAGGTATCTGAAATGACAGCAGATAATTTAAAGAAAAGTTAGTAAATGGTTATGATTTTTTTAACTGTGTTTTTGCTGCAGTTTGCCATCTTATAAAATAGGGAATACTGTGAGGCTCTGTGTAAGCGTTTCCAACATTTTTAAAACTCCGGAGAAGTGGTATAAAAATTCAGAATATGTACTTTGAGAAACAACCGCTAGAATACTTGCTACTCTTCATAGCTTTTAAGTTGTGCAGTTTTGCACAACTTTTATACTTTAAATCTAAATTATTCTCGTCTAAATTATTTGTTGTGGGGAAAATGACATCTTTAAACACTTAGAATTTTGTTTAACTAACCTTTAGAACAGCTGAGCGCCTCTTTCTTACCCTGTATTATTATCTCTGTAATGTTTCCCTTTGGCCTCGCCCCCCTCCCTCCCCTGCTTTACCTTTTGTTTCTCCTTTCTACCTATTTATGTTTTCACTACATCCTCTCACACTTTGAGCTTCTCTCATTCCTGTTTTCCTGATCTTCAGCTATTTCTTTTTCACTGACAGCCTCTTTTCTACCTTGTATTCTATCACAGTAATATCTCCCTTTATCCTTTTTCCCCCCCTGCTCTTTCCCCCTCCCCTCTCTGCTTTACCTTTTGTCTTTCTAATTTCTACCTATTTCCATTTTCACTGACATCCTGACACACATTTCTTGGAGTCTCGGAACAGCAGAGAGTCCCTATAGCTGAAGAAGGGTGACTGTGCCCAAAAGCTTGTTAAGAACGTTTTTCCAGCTACTCAGTTGATCTAATAAAAGATATCACATCTACTCAAAGAACCTTGCCTGTTACATAGGGGAAACATTTTTGTAGGATTGTCGTACTTGTTAATTATCTCTTTGTCATAGAATGAAGATTAGTAAACATTAGTTCATTTTTTTTTTTTTTAACTTCCATTTACTAGTTTGACTGCTAAACATGGAATCCATATGTAACAAGGATTCCAGCATACTGCTTGCTTAAGTCAGGGTGCTTACAAAATTGGTTGTCTCCAAATCTCCATTCTCCTTTGAAAAAGAAAAACGTCTTGAGGGTGGGATTAGTGTAGGGCAGGCTGTTAGATGGTCTCTCTGTTTTGAAGGGGGGAGAAGAAAGAAAAAAAAAAAGTTAGGCTAGCCCAAGTTAAAATAGTAGGTCTGAGGGACGACTTCTGTGCAGGGCTGAGGGTGAGTTAGTGGAATGTCATTTGGAAGAAAGCTTCCTACAAACTACATAGAGCTGGCTTACAAAGTAGATGTATATAACCCTCCCTTGGGTAATTCTCAATTTGTCTGATAACTTTATTAATCCTGCAGGGGTCTCATGTTGTTGTTTGTGGTAATTTGGCAGTATCTTGATTTCTAGGGTGTTTTGCCACTGCTGTAGCAATACTGTAATACTGTTACTCCAAATGATTAATTCACTTTCTTCCTTACGGATAGGATGCAGAAAATGCTATTCAGCAGATGGGCGGACAGTGGCTTGGTGGAAGACAAATCAGAACCAACTGGGCAACACGAAAACCTCCAGCTCCAAAGAGTACATATGAGTGTAGGTTACTTGCTTTCTTTTCATCTTGGCCCTCTATCCAAACTAAAGTAGAAATACGACCTCATAATTCTAAAGATATTAGCCTTCTATCTTGTCTACGCACTTCAGACAAACTTTTGCTTGAAGAAAGAATTTTTTAAAAATAATACTTTAAACAAATGTCTAAAATCCTGTTGTTGCTAAACCTTTAATATTTAAAAAATCCTCAGTTGCTTTTTAGCCCTTAATTTGTGGCCTTCTTAGTCAGCTTGAATGAAAAAAGAAGGCTTTGATTTCAGTTCCTCATTCTTATGCATTGGCAGCGTTTCAGGGGGGGTTGGTGCAGATACAGCAGGAAACTGTTCATATCTCACCTGGTAGAATAGAATATTGCTTTAAGTGTCTAAACCTGGTTTTATGGGCTTAGGTTAAAAGAATGCCACTCTTAACACTTTTCATTCCATCCAGGAAGAGCACACACCAACTCCTGAAACTTCCTTAGCCTGACAATGGGTTTTTTGAACCCGAAAGCTTGCTTAATTCTCCAACTATTTGGGTTGGTCTAATAAAAGATATCAAATTCACCCAAGGAACCTTGTCTGCCTGTCCTTAGACCAACACGGCTACACCCTACACCCCTGCACTCTTAACACTTCACATGTCTACAATTCTTCCATTCAGTGTTAGGAATTAAATTTTGAAGTCATTGTGTATTTTGTATTTATATCTTTACTTTTTCCCCCATACCCTCTTGTTTCTTTATTCTGGTTTTAGTGATTGCTCAAAAAGGGTAAAATTTAAAATGTACAGGAGAAAATGGACTGGTCTCTTTAGTCAGTGCCCCAACAATCCTGTGGATCCTTGTATTGTGAGCCTCTTCAGATGATGTAACTTGCCTAGGTAAAAATCTCTCGAGTCTTTAAAGGTAAAAAGTGTTTATTTTAAAACTGTCTTTCAGCGAACACCAAACAGCTGTCTTACGATGATGTTGTAAATCAGTCCAGCCCAAGCAACTGCACTGTATATTGTGGTGGTGTCACATCGGGACTAACAGGTATGGTGTTTTCTCACTGTTGATCATCTCCAAAGAAGTGTCTCTGAATAACCACTGTGTTTCCTAATTTGGATTATTTGCCTTTTGTACCTTGTAGAACAGCTGATGCGCCAGACCTTTTCTCCATTTGGGCAGATAATGGAAATTCGAGTCTTCCCAGATAAAGGGTACTCATTTGTGAGGTAGGTTGTTTGTTTGTCGTTCGCTTGAAGTTGTAACATAGTTGGTTGACTTGTCCAAAGCAGTGGTGACAAATAACCTCAATGTTTCCGATAGCAATATTCTAGATAAATAAAACCTGTGTGTACTTTAGAAGACTATACGCTGTACTGTTATGTTGTATGGGTGAAAAGATCCTTGCGTTGATGCATCTATACTGACAAGACTGCATTTCATGCCAGCATAGTAAAACTATGACTGGTCTTACTAGTGAAACAGGCTTTTCCAGCAGAAGCACTTTTTGCCTGGGTCTGCTTCTGGGGTCCTCAGCCAGCACAGCGCTCTCTGTCAGGGACAGCACCTCTGCATGCATCTGACAGGCCTAGCTGTGCTGGCAGAAGTCTGTTTTGTTGGCCTGATATTGCATTAAGCTTCATGTCTGTGTGGCTGGTTTTATTCATTTTTGATAGTTCACTCTTGATCCAAATTACCAATCCTGTATTTAATTTTCCTTTTTATAAACTCGTTGAGGTATTGAGTAGAATTTTTTGAAGTCCTGAAGCATACCTTATAGTGTTGCTGTTTTCTTCCACTGTCCTAAAGCTAGGTAATAAAAAATGTAACTTAAAAACTTTAGGTTTGCTTGGGCTGTAAAACTAGTTGCCACTCAATGTGTGTGCATGAAACAAGCTGCTCAGGTTTGGCTTTCTGAATTCTGAATCTGATAATCCTGCAGTATTTGAGTGGACTTGGAAAGATTGTAAGAGAAACTAAACAAATGATTTAACTAAAGAAGAAAAAATTTAAAAGAAAAACAGACTAACTTTTTAACAAAGCTAAAATGTTGGGTCTGTCTTACCTAATAGATTCTATTTAAATGATTTTTGGTTGCGGGGGGTGGGGGGGGTCTTTTTTACTGGGAGATATATATTTATCTTGATCTAACTTCTTTATTTCAACAGGTTCAATTCTCATGAAAGTGCTGCACATGCAATTGTTTCTGTCAATGGGACTACTATAGAAGGGCATGTCGTGAAGTGCTATTGGGGCAAGGAAACTCCAGATATGATCAGTCCAATCCAGCAGGTCAGGAAACTTTCCTCTCTTAATTTCTAAAATGGTGATTGTCATTTTTAAATTAATTCTTAACAGATTTGTGTCATAAGATTCTTTCTGCATATTGATTTTGGAGTAGTGGGTTCTGGATTTCAGGCTGCTGTAGCAACATAACTTCTCATATTCGACTCTTTTTTCCACTGTAGATATCTGCCCTTTAACATATCTGATAATTTTTAAAGTGTACGGGAAACATTTGGAAGCATTAAAACTTTCCCACGTGTTCTATTTCATGCAGCTAATGGCTTCAGCTTTGCTTTTTTTTCCCCATAGCTCTCAGGAAAGTAAACACTATGGTGAACAACATTACCAGCATTGTTTATGTGGTGTAGAGAGATACAGGGGGGTTTGGGGGTTTTTTTTTGTTTGTTTTTGGTTTTTGTTTTTTTGAAGACTAAATGGATGATTTGTTTTTGAAGAAACTGTTTTCTTAGGACAGTGTTTAGCACATGAACTTCAAGACTGTAACCTTATTTGCAGAATCAAATTGGATATCCACCTGCTTACGGGCAGTGGGGCCAGTGGTATGGAAATGCACAACAGATTGGTCAGTACATGCCTAATGGCTGGCAAGTTCCTGCATATGGAATGTATGGACAGACCTGGAATCAGCAGGGATTTAAGTGAGTACACTTCCTATCTAGTCAGCATGCCTTAAGTCATTCTCAACTAGGATACCAAGCATCTGGGGAGGAACTAGATCCTTGAGCTCTTTACAAAGGTGCTGTGGGGTATGCAAGCATGATTCACAGTATAAACCCAAATATTTCAAATAGGAACATTAGGGTTAAAAACATTCTGACCTGTTGTGGTCTTACTGAGTTCTTTGCAACAGAAGACTTGCTCGGTCATTTTTCTGTAGTCCAAAACTTGAGTAAAAACAAAGAGTGGGTGTTTTCCAAGAGGTGCTTTTTTGCCTAACAAGGAGTGTCTTGATTTTTAGCAAAGGATGCCTTGAGTCTAGCAAGGTTGAGAGCCATTGCCATAAGTACATTATCAAGAGTGATCATGCTTTAACAGGAACATGATAAAGCATTCTGGAAAACCATTGTTGTCCAAGGTTCTTCTACCTTGGTAAGATGGTCAAGCCCAGTACTTACTTAAAAATAAAGGGACATTTTTTAGATAGAATAAATTACCAGAGTTGAACTGTTCCCAAGAGAGAACAAAAATGCCAGAGGTACCTTTTAACAGAATGTGGGTATTAATGCCAGTTCTGTTTAGTGAAAACTATTGTAAATCTGTCTAGTGAAATTGGTTATCTAGTCTGCTTCACCTAAAGCTGCAGTTGGACTCATGGTAAGGAAGTTGGTTCCTGCATTTTTTCTAGCTGTAAGCTTGCAAGGCCTTTTCAAAATTTTCTTGAATTTTTAATAAGATAAATGTTTTTTTCAGAGAGGTGCTGTTACTTCTTGCTGGTAGGTGAAAGATTTGTATGTATATGTGTTTATACTCTGAGATGGTAGAAACTGGACGTGAAAAAATCGCTTTAAAGCCCATGTAGTGCACTTGAGTGTTTGTAACAGAACAATTGCTCTATTTTTCCAGGTTAAAAAAAAAGAAAAGAAAGAACTTAAGAGCTAGCATTTTCAGAGGGGTGAGCAGAGTCTAATGAGGGGTGCCTTGATTCTAAACAGGTTGAGAACCACTAATTTAGGTACTTGGGTTCAGTTTACAAGGTGCCGTTGTTACTGGCTAAGATCATAGTGTTAGTTTTTACCCTCTAGGGTTTTTTGTATGCATCTTCTGTCTACCATGAAATGACATCAACTGTCTGTTTTTCCCCCAACAGCCAGACGCAGTCTTCTGCAGCATGGATGGGTGCAAGTTATGGAGTTCAACCACCTCAAGGGCAGAATGGAAGCGTGCTAACTAATCAAACTGGATATCGTATGGCAGGTTTTGAAACGCAGTGAGAGAGCAAAGGACTCTAGAACCGAACACCAGTGGCTTGAGGCTGCAAGGAGTGTCCTAAAGCCTTTGTTTACTTAAAGATTTATCAGATCAAGTCAGTGCAAATGTCAGATACAGTGTATTTATTTTAAAAAATCATTTTGAATCATGAAATTGTCATCCACATTGTTTAAAAACAACACAGGAAAAACTAGATGCTGGATGTCTGCCAACTTTTGCCTTCTTTTCCTCCTTTTGATATGTGTTTCTTAAGATCCTTGTTTGAAACACAGCAAATGCAGGGATTACTGCCACTTTTAAATTGGGGCAGAAAATTGCACAATGTCAAGCTTGTTTTCCTCTGAAGTGAAGTAGTGTGCAGTTTTAGTTTGCATTCCTAATGATTTAAAATGTATTATAAGCAGTTGTACAAAAAAGCCAAAACTGTGTGGAGTCTGAAGGTTCTTTGCCATCTTCAGCCTTTGCACAAACTTGTTTTAAAAATAGCCTATTGTAAAAAGTGTCCATCACTCCACTTTTGTTATACCAGGGTTTTCAGATATAAATTATTAGTTTACATTGTTTTTGTATCTAGACATTTTTCAAACAGTTGTCTTTGCCTTATGACAGTTACTTAAATTATCATTAAATGGGAAAATGTGATGATCGGTATAGAATTTTGTGCAAAACACTCCGATGGTTCTAACTATATCACATTTGTGTTCTACGTGAGAAGGTGCCTAGAGAAATCCCTGTTGGGTTTGTTCTAAAGGATTTTTATCTTCAGTGAAACTTTGTGATGTGTACTGGGAAATGCAAAATCCTGTTATGAATATTACTAAAATGTGACAAATTCCTATGAACCAGCTTGTTTTTTATCTGTCAATTTCTACATTTACATGTATTTGATTATCATGTAAAATATTTTAGCAAATTAATATTTTGCACAGAAGTTAGCAAACTTTGTATGTTTCCTTATTTAAAGGTAGGATGCAGAGTCCTTGGACATGATTTATGCATAAGATTTAAAAATTTTGTTTTTGCATGTGAATATCAAATATACATTTTGGTAGTCTTTGAATACAAAGTCACCTGCCCTTGTTTTTAAGAAACTGTAAAAGATGCGGTTGTATGTAGAAAACAATTCAGTCTTGCTGTTTACTGTTAGTAAATTTTACTCAACTAGAGTAAGTTGACTTGATTTTTAACATGTACAATTAGAGCTGTGAAAACCGTAGCATTGTATGTGTAGGAATCAGGCATGGGGTATGCTGAGTGCTCCTAGACAGCCTGAAGGACCAGCTGAGTGAAGTATTTTTAATTGTTCAGAGGCCAAAAAGAACCTTTCTATCCTACCTCTTGACCAGCCTTCAAAAAAGCAAAAAAATTTTCATGGTGTGATCTGTTATTTATTATCCCAATTCACTTGGCTTCCTGAGTTATGTTGTTGTTCTTGTTGGGTTTTTGGTTTTCTTTTCTCTCCCTTTTTTTTTTAATTCTCTCAGCGCTTTAATTGCAGTGGGGCAGCTCCAAGCATCAAGGGATTCAACTTTTGCTATATTGTCAGGCAACAATGTATTTCAGGGTCTTCTATAAATGTAATACTGCTGAGGAGGGTCAGGCTGGGAGTGGGGGACAGGAGTCCATGTACTGCCTTCCTTTCCTCTTCTTGTTCTCCCCTTCCAAGAAAGGGGGTAGGGATGATTTTGTAAGGCTACCAGTATTGGAGGGCTGTTTGAAAATTGTGACCGGTTTTATTAGCGAATGGAAGGGGGAGATGGAGGAGAAGGCAAGCAGGCAGGCGTGGAGCAAGTACACTGGCCTATACCTTTTTGTAGAAAACACCCTGTTATGTGTGACGGGGACCGGAAATGTATAGATCTTAGAAGAACTATTCTATGCAGCTGTTCTTAAAACTTGGCTTTAAAGATACGTAAATACAAATGAATTCTTTCTACATGGAAACAGTTTATTTTTCTTTTTTGCCTCCTTGTAACTTGCACACAGGGCATGTAACAACGCAGCTTAGAAATGATGCATTCTTTCAGAATAAAGTATATCAAAACGCTTGTTTAGGTTCTATGGATTATTCTAGGTTAGGGCTCTTTGGTTATGCAAACACCTCTTTTACTTACTGGTTGATCACCTGTGCAGTATTGTATTCTGCCCAAAGAGCATTCAAATCTGAGTAGGTTCTGAAACTTTAGCAGGATGCTGTATTTGAATACAGATTTTTTTTTTAAAAATATATATACGCATAATGTGTATTTTTACCTCTTTTTTTTTTTTCTTTTAACTGCACGAACATCATCTAAATCTTAAGAATGTGTTGTGATTCCTGTCATTAATGTATATGTATTACCACATGGCTTAATTTAAAAGCAAAGGGTGTAGGGGGTTCAGTCGTTCAAAGTGGGCCAGCAGTTGCAGAGTAACCTTGTCTTGCCTTGAAATTGGCCCCATGTGTAAACTCATTGGAGAAGAGCTAAGGGCTGGCCTCTTTTTAAAATGAAATGGGTGAGTAGTTGTTAATGTACTATGGCTATTTTCTTCTGTAGATGCAGAAGATTTGACCTTTTCTTTTGACCTGGGGCTTAGAATCCTGAAAAGCTTTGGTGGAGACGGGTCTGAAATTAGGCAATTTCTTAAACAAGTGAAGGCACAAAATGTTATGGCTTTTCTCTTGGATAGGCCTTTGTAATGGCTTTATAAATTGCCAAATCACCTTGGGGAAGTTGCACAATGCTCCTTGTTATATTAAATATTGGTCAATACTAAGCTTGCTGGGTGAAATAACTTTTGATATGCTGCCTCATGAGTCTTGCAGTTGGAGGTAAGGTGGATTGGAAGTGTCAGAACTGCTAGCATTGTCCTTTTCCTGCTTCTCTTCACATTCCATAAGATGTAAAAAGCAGCATTAGTGTGAAAGGAATCGGTTCAAATGTTTCGTACTTCATTTTTTGCTTCTGAGTGTGCATACCCATTAATGAAAATGACAGCTGGCTTAAAGGGAGGGGTGGGTAGGATTATAGAATACCAAGGGTGCTACAAAGAAAGGGTGAAATACAATGTTTTTGTAGCATTAGCCCACTAACATTTCATTTGGATTTGTTTTCAAGATCTTATGAGAGAGACATTTTTAACTCTGGAACTGTTGATTTTTAAGTCAGTATATTAATAACTGAACTTGCATCTTGCAGCCTCTTATTTTACTGATCAAATGGATGTTGTGGTAATCCAAGAGAAAAGAGTTCCTTCACTGGTAGTCCTTCCTGTTGCTGTTAAACAGAAATTGCTGGACCTGTTGGCCATAGTGAGATGCAGTCATTTATTTCTCTTACTGTCACTGATGTTGCCAGAGTACAGCAGGAACCGGGAGCGAGTTTCTTTCCTGCTGCCTGCAAGGGAGATCATAGGGTACTTAGCTTGCTTGTTCTTCAAGGTAGGCCTTGTTCTGTGTTGACGTGTGTTCATTGTAATGATAATAATTAATCTTATTTTGATTTACACTGGTATCCTTCTTTTGAAATCACTTCTTGTTGGAGAAGGCCTGATGTCAGCACTGTTTTCTCCCCTGGCTGGGGGCAGTAGTTGCATCACGCCACTGAATGCACTGCGTGGAAAAAATGTCTTTGGTACTTGGCAGTAAACTGATAGTCACGCTAGGATGAGCAGCAGTCGCTTTCCTGTGTAAAATCGGTAACAGAGTTGATATTGAAACCTCTGTGAGCCCGCTCTTGCCTCTTCTCCCAGTGACGGAGAGGGAGGGGGGGGTATCTTTTCTCCCGCTATCGATTACCTGGTGTTCGTATTGGGTTTTTCCTGGCCCTCCTCTGCAGTGCACGTGTATCTGCTATGGGGTGGAGATGCATCTTGGTGCTGTCTCTGAGCGAACTAAGCAGCCAGGGATGAAAGGCTGGATCAGCTGAGAGGTTTGCAGCACTCTTTGCCTCCTTCTCTCCCAGTTTCACATTTGCTACTGTGAAGTGATGGGGGCAGCACCCCCCTGCTGCCCAGTATCCCCCTCCACTTACCCTCTCCAGCCTCCGCAGGTGCCCCTTTCGCGCATGCGCCTTCTGTCCTGATGGCCTCGCAGCGCCCCGCACTACAGCCCCCAGCAGCCCCTGCGGGTGTCACGTGCCGGCACCAGCCAACGAGAGGCGCTGTTACAGCCGGGGCCTCCCGGCTGGATGTAAGGAGCCATGGCGAAGGCCGCTCGCTGACTCCCCTGACGGGCCGCCCGGCTGGGACCCGAGGCCGGGCGAGGCCGCCCAGGTAAGGGTCCGCTCGGGGTGGCCGGGCCGGAGCCCCTGCCGCTTAGGAACAGGAAGTGACATCAGGGCGCTCGCAGAGGACGATGGGAAATGAGGGGAAAGGGGAGGCGGCGACCCTCAGCCCGCGCCCCTCTCCCGGGCCGGGCTGGGGGAGGGGAGGCCAGCTCGGCGCGCGACGTCATCCGCACGAGCGCCCGTGTGACGTCACCTGCCACGCTGATGTCTCTGGGGGGCAGGGGGACAAAGTGAGGATGGCGGTCCCTTGTCATCCATGATGTGGGGTTAACGTCACCAGCGGCGTGGGAGGGGGGGGCGCTGACGTCATCCACGTCACAGATGGCGTGGCCGTGCTGGTGACCTCCCGCTGCCGCGTGACCGAGATGCTGCGGTGTGCGTCCTCCTGTGACCTCCGTGTGGCCTTGCCGCGTTCAGCATGTCTGCAACACGAGGTGCCACGTGCGTGCCTCCGCAGCACCGCACGGTGAGGGCACGGCGTGCCCAGCCCCTTCGGGTCTGTGGTTGGGCACCGACAGGGTCGGGAACTTGCAGGCAATGTCACATCATCTTTGCATTGTCAGGATGTCCTGGCGTTAGTCCAGCGCTTGTTCCTCGGCCATCTCGCGATGTCATCGCTCACCATGACACTCGGTATCCCCAACCTTTCACCCCGTGGCATTGCCAAGGGGCAGCAATCGAGCATCTTTGCCACGCTGTATAGTGCTATTCTCCGCTCCGTGGGGGCTGTGGCTATACTAGGGTATTTTTTGCCAAGCCAGTGCACCTCCACCAGTGCCTCACGCCTGAAAGCTCTGGTACAGACAGGTCAACTTTCTGGGAGCATTTCAAGCACTGTGATGTCTAACATTGCTCTGAGCATTTGTTAAATGAGAGAGTCCCAGAAACATAATCCCTGTCTACCTCAGTGCCTCCAGTGTTGCCACAAGTAAAGCCAGAAACTGTTTTGTTAGACACATGCTACAGAAATATATATTCATAGATTGCGAAGGGATGGAAGGAACCTCGGAGGATCATTGGGTCCAGCCCCCTGCACCAGGCAGGAAAGACAACTGGAGTCGGGTGACCCCGGCGAAGTGACCGACCAGTGAATCACCCGCCCTGGACAACGTGATGCCAGCAGGGGCATTACGTTACAGGGATTGTTACCGCTTCACAATAGTGAGGAGACAGGAAGTTTTGCCTGAAGAAAGTTGGAGCCGGCTGTGTTTCCCCTGATGTTCCAGCTACTCCTCTGCCTCTAACGGGCCGATGCAAGTTGCTGTGCAGTTGTGCAAATCAGATGCACTCTCCGACCCCTGCCAAAGTCGTAGTGCAGCAGAATTGGCAGTTGTTGGATTAAGGAAGATCTTAAAGTTGTAAATGGCTTGGATCTGCCAGTTTTTACGATTTCTCCTTTTTTATTTCACTAAAAAGACGCACGTGATCAGGGAAGCAGACAGAGGAAACAGCTGTATTCAGACACTTGAAACAAAAGGGGTTCAGCATTGCTTCATTTCTTATCTAAATCCCTTAGCAGCTACTAACTCCCATTAAAACAGCCCTTCAAATTATATGAAATCTTTATTTCCAGTTTTTCTAAAACTTGTCACTCTTGGCCCTGTCTTTGGCATGTAAATAACATGACTGTAGTGTGTCACCCAGCCTGTTAATATTTACAGTTCTGTAACTTCTCATTCCATCCTGTTAGGGCACTGCCAGATGACCAGACCAGCAGTATTCCACTCTGATCCAGTCTTGAGACTCACTTTTTAATGCCTGCAAGCAATGAGTCAACAGCACGCTCCTACAAATTGAAATGTACATTCTTTTTTCCTTATCTCAGGGTCCCCCTGCCTATTCTCTCACTCTTCCTGGGACTGGCAATGCCTTGGGGCACTGTAACTGCCTGTGTGTGTGTGTTTTATCTTCCCACACGTGTGTCACTGACAGTGCACAAATTATACAGGACAGTTCCTTAAAGCTCCTGACATAAATTGACACCCACCTTCCCTGTGAAAGGTATTACAAGCACAAGCAGAAGAAGGGGGTTCAGAGCTGAAAGGGCTTAGTTAGCTCAATTCCCCATAACAAAAGCTGTGGCAGATTTCTCTTGTATTCTCTGAGATGGATTATCTGACTTTGCCTTGTTTGTTATATTCTTGGGCTAGCATAGCAAAAAAGTTATGGGTCACTTGGTACGTTGCTCTCTGTTGACACAGTCCTGAAGCGTGCAGCTCCCATGCCCCAAACATCAGATGTGATGTGGTTGAAGATGATGTACAGGTCTCTTCATTCTCTTGCCTTACTGCTAGAACCCCATGTTCTTTTAAAGCCCAGCCTAACTCAGTGCTTCTGAAGGCCCAGTGTCTTCCAAAGGTCATTCTGGGTTGCAGTAATCACAGATTCAGATCCATTTGGTGTGGTTCTGTGCTGCTGTGACCTCTCAGAAACCTCACAATGGTGTACTGCCAACTGATGCAGCAGAACTTCTCGATTATGACACCTCTGGGTCCGAGAACTAGGCACTGGTCACTGGTCTATGAAAGGCTCAAAGACTTGGGATCTCACCTCTTCCCTCCCACCCCAGACACAGAAACCACATAAGGCATTAACCAAGACTGTGAGTTCATGTTAAGTCCCTTGTATGTTGCTTTCCCTCTGAAGAAAGCATCAGCATTGGCGGGGGGGTGAGATTGTGGCAGGAGACAGGTGTGGGGCATACAAGCCAACTGTGTAACACTTTTCTTTCCTGCCTGCACCTTCAGAAGGGGATTCCAGCATGGTGGGAACTCTAGTGGCAATGCCTATAGCATTCATTTAATGCCCACAGTACTTAAGGCCTAATGGTGCCTCCCATCTCTCAAGATGCAGCTTCATGTGCTTTATTACTACACGTAAGAGCCTATAAGCATGAAGGACAGGGTTGGCATGCAGACATTTGAAAGGGAAGTTGCAGAAGGACAGAAGAACCTCTGAGCCACCTACATGCTAGTGGGTATCCCTGAGATCATCTGCTCTTTGTCCCAGGTTAGTAACCCCTTTTACAAAGCCAGCCTCCTGCCTTGCAGAGCTGTGCACAGCTGCTGGCCACTGTCTTCTGCACTCTGTTCTCCTGTTTCCTCTTCCATAGCAATATCCTTTCGGCTTTTTTCTGGCTCTCATACCCACCTGTTCTCTTTTGATAATCAGCAAGGACTGGATCACCTCCCAAGGTCGCAGTACCTCATCCAGAAGGATCCCAAAACCATTTTGCCCTCAACCACATCCTGTGGGCCTCAGGCAGAGCTGTTGCTGTCCAGCTTTGTATATAGAGATAAGAGTCCAGGCACTTGCATGGGAAGGGACACTGCTGTCAGGGTGGGAAGTAAGTAGGCAGCGAAGTGTGGACTGTGCACAGCTCACTGCAGTCATCTTAAAGGAGCTGTTGGTGCTTGGAGCACTATCCAGCCTTGCTGTCTGGAGGCCAAAGAACCTGAGCCTTGCAGCCCTTTCACCATCAAATAATCTGGCTTGATTCTCCTTTGACTCCGGTTTAGACAGATATGGATGGACTGATTTGCCTTCTGACAATGCCATGGGAAGGCTGTCTGTCTTTTGCAAACCTGTTTGTAGGTTAGGATCCAGAGGTTTGCTGTGCTGAGCAGTTTGAAGTTTTGGCCTTCTCCTCATGCACAAGTCGTGCGGCTGAAGTGCACAGTTAAATCAATTCAAACACCTTTCACACACCATTCTGTGACAGGGGAATATGCTATTGGTACAGTTTGTGCCCTCAGAGAGTGGATATTTAGAGCCCTTTCGAAAGGGCAGCTGCTCTTACATACAGAACATAAGCAGAGTTAGATGTGCAAGGCACGTTTCAACTGATATAAGTGCCTCTACCGGTATGACTGCAGTGGTAAAAACTCACATTTCTAACCAAACTGGTAAACTAGCATCCGTCAGCCAGGCCTCAGTGGGGGCATGGGAAGGTGACGAATAGCATGGGAATCACTAAATTGTGCTTTCTGCTGATAAATCTGGTTGATGCTGCAGAGACTGAATGTGATGGCACAAGAGGGTGCACGTATGTGTTGTCTCCCCTTGGGCTACTCATCATATCATTGCTACCTGTGTTCCTCCAGCTATGGATGCCCTTGGACCTGTCAGCTGCCAGTGTTTTAACTGAGATCTCCATGGCTGCCTAAGGGGTTTAGACACCCTCCTCTCAATACAATTTAAGGAATCAAGCATCCAAATCACCTGCTCACTTTGAAAGTCCCCCCTGTGCCAGCCTGCTCTCAAGAGTAGTTGGCATGGCATAAATGCTGGCAGCTGCTGAATGTCAGTGCCCACATGCACACATCTGGAGCCTCTCATTTGTGTGGAAAGAGGGCCTAAAAAAATGGTTTCAGGTGGGGATGCATACATGAACCAAAGTGCCTGCATACAGAGGACCTGCTCCTCTGGTTTTGGATATGAGCTCAGTCTCTGACTCAGCCCCGTGTCCTTCCCCACCCCATGGCCCCATTTCCCCTCCCACCTGCTGCAAGCTTTGTTTCTGTTGTGAGCAGTGAAGGCCAGGGATGGTCTCTTGTGATGCAGTTGTGCAGCCCCCAGCCCTGTGTGGCATGAACTCCATCAGGCTCTGAGTGCCACTGCAGCTCAAATTAAACACCTAGCTAAGCATTGCATCCGTGAACTCAGGGCTCATCTAAGCTATGGAGCTGCTGCTGTCTCTGTGGTGGCATAATTCAGGCATATGTCACCTCCCCTGTTGTGGGGGCAGAGCTGCATGCATCCTGGCAGGTTTTGCCAGCTTCACCAGCCAGGGTAAGTGATTTGTTCATGCTCTTGGCCAACACAGTTCTTCCTGCAGTGCTCTGTAGCAGAGACCAGGCACTACTCAGATTTACTTCTTGGCTTCTCTCATGTTCTAGGCCCCCGGCAGGATGGAACCGAGCTCTGTGAGGACGAAAGTCCCTGCTTTCTTATCTGACTTGGGGAAGGCGACGCTGAGGGGAATAAGGAAATGCCCTCGTTGCGGCACATATAATGGCACACGTGGGCTGAGCTGCAAGAACAAGAACTGTGGAACTATCTTCCGCTATGGCGTGCGCAAGCAGCCTGGTGCCGATGCTGTGAAGATCATCACTGGCTCAGACCTGCAGGTCTACTCGGTCCGGCAGAGGGACAGGGGCCCGGATTACCGGTGCTTTGTGGAGCTGGGGGTTTCTGAGACCACCATCCAGACTGTGGATGGGACCATCATCACCCAGCTCAGCTCTGGGCGCTGCTATGTCCCCTCATGCTTGAAAGCAGCCACACAAGGTGTGGTAGAGAACCAGTGCCAGCATATCAAGCTGGCTGTGAACTGCCAAACAGAGGCCACGCCTCTGACTTTGAAGAGCTCTGTCCTGAACTCTATGCAGGCTTCCCCTGAAACAAAGCAGACCATCTGGCAGCTGGCCACCGAGCCCACCGGCCCCCTTGTGCAGAGGATCACCAAGAATGTGCTGGTGGTCAAGTGCAAGGCCAGCCAGAAGCACAGCCTGGGGTACCTGCATGCCTCCTTTGCTCAGAAGATGAGCAGTAAGAACATGGCCGAGCACCGGTTTCTCTGCTCCTGCCAGCCCCTGAAGTCCAGCAAGGCCAGCACAGCCAAGGAGACAGCTACCCAGCGATGCATCCACTTTTTCGCCTGCATCTCTGCTTTTGCCAGTGACGAGGCATTGGCTCAGGAGTTCTCGGATTTCCTCAGTTACGATGCAGGTGGTAGGTTGGGGCTAACGCGGAGCCAGCTCTGACAGCTGGGTTTGAGCAAGGGAGAGGGGAGAACTTGGGGTGGGCAGGGTTTGGACAGAAAAGGCAGTCTCTGCTGCAGGGTCGGGGGGTGTCCTGGACTCTCCATTTGCTATCACCACTAGATACAGAGAGTTTTCATTTCCAGCCTATGAAGCAAATGTGATCCATAGATCACCATCCTAGGAGTGCCTCCCTTCCTTCCCAAGTCCCCACCAGGGCTTTATTATCCATGCTTTCCCTGTGTAAATGTATTACTGCAGGGAGAACCTTAGCATCCTTGCACTTTTACAGAGACTTTATGTGAGCGATATATCAGCCATCCAACAAAGCGGTTGATGGCTGCAGCTTTGTTTCAGTCCTTCCAGGGGAATGCAAGAATAAAACCAAGGCCCTGGGAGTGGGAAAAAGACAGGGACTTTGCAGCTAAAAGTCTGTCCAAAGGGCAGAGGATGCATGACTGGGCTTTGAAGGTGTTCTGTGGGAAAAGAGATTTGTGTCCATTTATCATTTATGCAGTTGTGTCTACAGTCAAGGGCATTTCCATTTGAGGAACTTTACCCACATAAGGTGCCCTCCTGAGTTCATTCAGACACCTCACGAGAAAAGCACATCTATGACTGTTGTAGGAGCAGAGCCATAAAGTTGTGCAAACTTAGGGCTACATTATGATGGATTCAGAGAATTTTTGCTCTTTCCTCTCTGCTTTTCCCAGGTCTCAAAGGAATTATAGTGCCCCAGTTAGTTTGCCAGCCTGAATCAACTGTGCAATCTGGCGAGTCCGCTGCTTCCAAACCAAAGAAAAGGAAAAAAGATGATGCTTCTGGTGAGTGACCCTGTCTGTTTTTTAACAGTGGCTTCAGAGTGTGTCATTTGAATGTCTGCTCTCTACAAGTTCATAGCATCTGACAACATAAGCTGTTGTTTACAAAAGCTTACGCTTCTCTGAAAAAAATTAGCCTATAAGGTAAAACTCAACCCTGCCTTCTGTCTGTACAGTAAGTTATTGTAGGTATAGATTCTCATTATGAATCTTTCAAAGAAATTTTTAGATGATTCTAAGCTGGGAATGCTGCACTAAAGAAGAGAACTTTATTATATGGGAAGCCTTAGACAGGAACATTAGAATTGCTCTGAAATTTAACCATGGGAGGGGGCAAAGTGACAAACTTAAATACCAGTAGCAAACACTTTGCCTATAAAGTGGAGGCATGTTGATCGGCAGTCCCATGTGTCAGGGCTTTTGCTGGGCCCCTGCAGGATCCTATGACAGACAAGTCTAAGGGAAAATGGGATTCAGGAGTGTAAGTTTTTCCTTAAACCTGTAATATTTTGGGTCTTCCAACTTTAATACTTGGAAAGATATGGGAATATATTATCAAAGAATCTGTTCCTAAGCTCTTGAGCAGAGGTGGGCAAGCCAGAAATAGTGGCTCAGTGATATGGTTGCTGTCTTGCAAGAGAGCAGGTCCTGGGTTCTGTGCCTGTACACCTGCTCCAAGTGGTGCTTCTGCATTTTGCATTAAAGGTCATTTGGATGCATTTGGATGCAGTGTGATCAGATCCAGAACTCATAAGGTTGGACTAAGTGTCCTCCTGAGGTGCCTTCCAGCCATATGTTTCTATGGTTCTGTAAACTGTGAAGGGATTTGGAGGTGGAAGATACTATCTGTAAGATCCTCTCTTTGCACTCTTCACACCAGCATGGCCCTTGTATTAGCAGTGCCCAAGGCACAGGTTGGTAGAGATGGGAAGGGCCTCACAGATTCCCACTCCCACCACTGGGAGAAGACCTCTCCATTATGGTGTTTGGCACTCGGAAGCTACCTATCTAGATCTTACAGGTCATGGGCAGCACACTGTCACTGTGGCTTGCAAACTAAAGCGCTCTCCAATTGAACTTAAGGTACACAAGTAGGCGGTCCGCTTCTGGCCCAGGATGCCACCAACAGCAACCTGAGGAAAAGTGGATTGAAAAAGCCAGCGGTGGCCTCCTCACTCAAAAGGCAAGGTAAGCACTATCTCCCACGGTCCTTCATTCAGCAGCTGAAATACCAGCATACCTACAAATGCTGCTGGCAAAGAGCCGGCTAATGTAAGCTAACATTGCACCATGGAATTGGCAGAGCTTTGCTGATAGTTTGGCTCTAGTAATTTATATTACTAGAATATAAACACCTGGAAGGAATATTTTGGCCCTGAATTTCCTCTTTCACCATTATAACTCCCTTGACCTCAGTGGAATCACTCCAGGTAGGCACTGGAGTAAGTGAAATGAAAATCAGATTCTTCTGCTCTTTCAGCTCCCCTGTGGTAAGCAGTGGCCCTATGCTATACCTCTGTGGCACATCCTACCAGCTGAGTAAACTGTAGCCCCAGACAGCAGTGTCTGTCTCTCCGCTGGTGTTGACCTAGTCCTTTTTTGGCTGTTGCATGGATTTCTTCCTTCTCATGCCAAGTCAAAAAATCAAGACTCTGCTGTGGCTAGTGCTTATAAGTAAATACAAATTAATTTAGTAGGGAAATGAAGTAAAGTCACAATTAAAAGTAGCAGCCAAGTCAAAATAAAAAAAGCATGGGACTACTGAATTCTGGTCCTCAACTGTCTCCCCTGTCCGTGTGTACAAACAGCCCCAGTAGTGGTAGAGCTGGGTCGGAGGTGATCCCTTGCTAGAACCTGTTAATAGTTGCATTTGATAACCACACAGACAAATTTTCAGTCAGAGAGATAAGTCAGTACTGTCATTTCTCCTTCTAACATCTGGGAGGCATGATTCTCCTCTCTCGTGCTTCTGACCTGTACTGGGTAAAACCCCACCAGTGTAACACCCATGTCTGGCACATGCCCAGTGGCGCACGCCAGCAGCCATGCCACAAACTCAAATAGCCCTCAGCTTTCTTAGGGCTGTTTATACATGGGTATATTTTCAGAACATTCATTTCTGTCTCGTATTAGGACTGCTTATTTATATTTAGGAGTATCTATATATACATATGATTTTATTCTGGTGATGCCTTAAGTTTTAAGGCTCCATCTAGTTTCCCTTTAAGTCTGTAAGGGCTGTTCTCTGATATTGGGGTCAGACTTTTTGTAAACGCTTCTATATTCCTACTCTGTTTCCTTGAATGCCTACTATATTCCTGCTCTGTTTCCTTATTCACCTGCAACTCATGGTGATGCTGTGGTTTGGTACAATTTTCTTAATGTCCTTTGTTTATTTGGAAAAAGCTGAAGTCAGAACTAATTACATTTTTGTATGAAGTAATTTTAAAGTAGGAAGAATAATCTTGCCAGAATGATCTTGGCCCTTTGTCTCTTTTATCCCCCTGCTCTTGTGTTATTCTGTAATCTCACCCTGTTGCAGTTCAGCGGGATTACTAGCAGATGTGAGTTTCCTACGCTTTTAGTAAAGAGTCATTGTTCGTGGGATGGACGCGATTGCTTGATTAATGATAACACTATGTAGCAACTGAGGGCAAAGAGCACCAGACCTGACTGAAATTACAGGGCAGGGGGGCTTTAGGCAAAATATTATTAGTAGCTCCAATCCTGCAGACTTTCCTGAATACCTATCTTTAGGCACTCAGTCTAGTCACTGCCTTCATTCAGACTTTTCACACCATGGAAAGTCTGCAGGATTGAACCCTAACAATTATTTCGGGTTAAAGTTTCATATGAACGTTGCTTCATGGTATAAAGGCCCTGTTTTTTTTCTCCACTGGATTTTTTTCTCCACTGCGGTGCTGAGTACCCAAGGAGTAGGGGGTGCTCAGGCCCAACATTGCTGGTAGCTGTGTTCAGAGGGCAACACATGTTTGACGCTGCATGCCAATTCTTAAAGCCCCGTGAATCTCAAACATTCTCTAGAAAGTTAAATCCTGGAAACCAGCCAAGAATAAGGTTTGATCTGTCACAGCAGAAATATTGCTGTTGCGGTTTCCCCTCTAAACTTCTCTTTCTGTTATCTCAGGAAAGGCAATCAAATTGAGGAATTGGGATGCCGAATATACTTTTTTCATATACACATGCAGAAAAGCTGCTAATAGGGACTCACCATGTTTCTGGCTCGAATAACTTTGTCTTTTCATTGTGGGAGCTGCATCTTGGATGTGAAGAATGCTTGTGTTTCAAGTGCAGTTTTAATCAAGGCTTTCTTTTTTCTTTTAGCCTGTAATCAGTTGCTCGATGAATCACAGGTGTCCTTGTCCTTCCAAGAATGGTTGGCCAGTGTCACTGAACGCATCCATCAAACCATGCATTACCAGTTTGATGGTAAGTGCTGTTGTTCTGTAGCTGCCCCACAGAGCTTTGAACCTTGCTGCATTTGCTGCCACTCCATTTCTAAAGTAACAATGAGAGTTAAGTGGTTGAAGGTTTAGCCAGCTTGAATAATCTGCAGGCCAATACTTGCCATGGATGGGGCAGGTGTTTCTTTGCATTCCTATGCCTCCTTCAATCTCCTTTTATCCAAGCTAAACATACCTAGTCCTCTCAACCTTTCTCCATGCAGCTTGCTCTCCAATATCATCTCTCTCCCTTGCCTTTTGGATTCTCTCCAGTTTTTTTGCATCCTTCTTAAAATTCAGTGCTTAGAACTGGACACAATGCTCCAATGGAGGCATGATCAGCACTGGGTGCTGTGCTACTCTCTCCTCCCGTATCTTATGTCCAATACATCTGCTAACCCAGTCCAGCATTGGATTTGGCTTCTTTGCAACATCAATGCATTGTTGACTCAAATGGCAGGAGGGCTCTTGTCCATGTCATCCATGTTGTTATTAAACAGTACCTGATCCAGAACAGGGTCCTATAGGACCTCAATTGAGCCCCCTTGCCATTGGTCATAGTTACCCTATGGTAGGTATTCAGCCAATTATGAACCCACCTGCTACTGGTTCTGTCTGTCTCATATTTCTCCAGATTACTTATGAGAGTGTCATGTGGGACTGTCCAGGTATACTCTGCCCACTGTATTCCCTTCTGCTGAAGTCAATGGACTACCTGATTTTGTGTCAACTGAGGTTCTGGCCTCACATGTACATAAGGAAAACACGGAATCCCATCTCCCATGGAAGTGTGATTGTTGCTTAGAAGAACTTGGCTATTTATTCAACCGCAACACTATGCAGCCATTACAGAAAGCACCACAGCCCATAGAAACTGCTGGGGAAAAACTTGGTTAAGCAAAATGTAACCGGCCCAAAGCAATTACAAATGTAAAGCCTACCTTAAGGCTAGAGGGAGACATTGGTTTGGTCCTGGCTCAGAGTATATTATTGCCAGTGCATTACACACACCAATGGGCAAGGTCTCCTTCTCCTGTTCAGACTCAGTCCTTTGTAGGTTGAGAGACATGAGATCATAAAAGGAAAGCAAATGAGATGTCCCTTGCCAGTGGAACTAATATGCTCTAATGGAAGCACTCAAAATGGCAGGTGATTCATCTCCTATCCTATTGCATTCATCCCCCCCATTCCCTTCTCTAATTAAGTCCTTCTTGATTTTCCATGCAGGCAAACCAGAGCCTCTGGTATTCCACATACCTCAGTCTTTCTTCGACGCCTTGCAGCAGAGGATTTCAATAGGGAGCACAAAGAAGAGGCTGCCTAACTCAACTACAGGTACAAGATGTTACGAGGTGGCTGCACACAACATATCACAGTTAATTTTGTGTCTCTGGAAAAATCTCATTTTGTGGCCATGCTCTGAAAGCATGAGGCATAGCAGCCTTTGATGAGTTGAGGGCTTTGTCATTAACTGTGCTCCAATGTACGGTGCCTCCTTGTCTGTTACAATATAAAGGAGCATTCAGTAACTTGGATAGCAGAGTCTTTCCCAACCAGGTCATCACTTTGGATGTGTTTCAGGTGAGCAGCGAACACAAGTCACCATAGGACTGTTTGGCCTATGTGAAAATAGCTGTTTATACAGCTCATTAATGCTTACAGGTCTGTTCACATCATTACAGTGGATATGTCCAGTGATAGCTTCACAGTCTTTATAGAGAGGCTGAGATCTGAATGGAAGACTGCCACTACTTTTGATGTACCTGAGTTGGAAATAAATTGTCACTAAAATGACTGTTCTCTTTAATTTTGGCTTGAATCATGTAATAAGGGGAAATTGTGATTATTTTGAGAGCCATTCTGGCTTATTAAGCAGCATAACATAAGTGTTACCAGCAATCTTGGATGCTCTTATTTATGCTCTTGAATTTCACGCTAGGGTGTAAAGAAAATAGAAAAACAAATTCCCCCATAAAAATGTGTCCATGCAGGGAGTTTTTTTCATGGTTAACTTTTCCATGCAATTAGGCCCTAAGTCACATACCTACCTCTTTACTACTTGAAGTGTATGAGAGAAAGCCACGTCTCATACTGGCTGGACTCCAAGGAAGGACTTGCACTGCTATTGATAGCTCTTATGAGAGCTTGCTGATGTAAGATAACCCCTCATGTTTCCATTGACTTGATAATAGGGGTATACTAATGGTGACTAGGGGTGTGATGAGGTGTGGTTTACATTTGCAAAGTACTTTGGCATCTTAAAGATGAAGCATTGCAAAGTGCGAATTGTTCTGTAGTAGCACATACAGGGCTTGTCTACACATGCAGTTAATGCAAAGCAATAAACTCTGGTGCATATCATGCCAGAGTTTATTGCTTCCAGGCACCACATTTACATGTGTGCCTGAGACTGCAGCTTGTTGAGCCAGGTTGGAGCAACTCTGGCTGGCAGGGGGCCTGGAGGGTCAGCCTGCCAGCCTAAGGCTGCTCCAACCTGGCTCAGCCTGCCACAGAAAGTCTGACTGTGGCACAAGTGTGCTCCATTGTGGGGCTAGCTGGTAGGCAGTCCCCTCACTGAAGCACCCTCATGCCGCAGACAGCTCTGTCAGCATCTGTACTGTACATGCATTGCTGCACAGTAAAGAACTCCACCGTAGGATAGTACTTGTTCCTATAAGAAGGAACAAAATCTAAGATGGATGGACATAGCCTTAAGACAGCCCTTTGAGCTGCAACATGGTAACATCACAGAGGAGTAAGCTTGAGATACTGATTGAATGAGAGACTTGCCAGGGAGTTATGCTGAGCTCAAGGCTGCCTTTAGAGCTGTTGGAAAGCAGTTTTCACCAAATGTGAAAAGCCCAAGAATTAACATTGTGATTTAAAGTTCATTTCACCAAGACAAAGAGCTGCACTATTGCAAAACAATTTTTTTAAGTTGCGGTTTTTACCATCTGTAGTCTTGCTTCTCCAGGTCCTTGCATTATCTTTAAGCGATACTTCCACTTTTTCCTGGAATATTTCTCTATAGGCTGTAGCAAAGCCTTGCTTGTTCTGTAATAGTTGGCTTTCTTGTTCACAGCTTTTGTCCGGAAAGATGCCCTTCCTCTGGGTACCTTCTCCAAGTACACCTGGCACATCACCAACATCTTGCAGGTCAAACAAATATTTGACACACCTGAGGTAAGGCATTTTATTCTTGTGGTTCCTTTCATAAAGGCCAAGCCTGGAACAAGTTCTGTTAACCTAAACTGCAGAGAAGAGAGCACCCACATGTGGGTAAGCAAGAATGTTGGAGTTCAGTTGGGCTGCTCACAAGTATGGGCTACTTTCAGAATGACTGAGCTGAAGAATCTCACTAATATTGTCAGCCAAACCTGCCTTCTTGCTGCCTTGCGCAGCAGTCGTTCTCAAATTGAAACTCTAAGTGATGATCTTAGCTCTAGGAGCCCACCCATCAGCAAGGACTGTGCTCAGGGCTAGCTGATGCCTCCCACTGCTTTCATTAAAGGCTTGGAAAAAAAGGGAATCAACTCTTGATACTAGACTGAGATACCCCAGTTCTGAGCTGCAGGGGCACATACTTGGTACCATGTTTCTTTGGGCCCTGCAATGCTTACTTTACAGAGGACCTAATAGCCTGGCTTCAAAAGGAGGATCAGATGCTTAAGCCCTCAAGCCTAGTGCTTAGCCTAGTGGCTAGGGCACTGTCTTGCGAGGCTTGTGGATTTGATGCCTTTAGAGTCAGGACTGTTCTGTTTCCCCACCTTCTGTGGGACCACACTGAGTTTCCCTTCCAGCACTTGCCCAGCAGTTAGGTTCTGGGGCTGATCATGTTTGTACAACTGGAGAGGAGTCACTGCTCACAGCTCATGCAGGAGGGCAAGAGGCTTTTCTTTTTCCGTTAAGCAGCTGTGGGCAAAAGAAGATCTCTCAGCAGTTGCTGGCACTTGTGGGACAAAGATACAGGGCTGCTCTGGTGGGAAACAGAGGACCATGTCAGAGTTGCCTCCTGTGACAGTGGAACCACATCACTGCTACCAAGGCAGGTCTCAGCAGGGGTCCTTTCTTTTGGGACCCTTGGAAGTGCAATTTCCTGCCAGTATAGTGGCCAAGTGCTAGAACATTTGGGTGAGGAGGCAGCCCTGCTGCCTGCCTCTTGCCCTGGTGGCACTGGCATGGACTAGAGCCCAGGTTAAAGCACTGTCTGTTGTTGCATGTAACCAGGCCCAGTGGGAGGCTTCTTCTCTGGTGCCCCATCACTTGCCTGAGGTAATAAGCAGCATGACTTCAGTTCCCTTCTTTTCTGCCACTTGGGGGAAAAGAGGTGACTCTTGGAGCTAAAAGGTGCAACGAAGCATTGTAATATTTAGGTCAGAGTCAGAGCAGCCTCCTGGCTCTAGAGAGCCTCTCAGCAACATGAAGAACTGTCTTTGCTTGAACCTGCTGGGAGTAGGATGTTAGGCTGCACCACAGTCACCAGGCCAACAGGCATATGCTTGGGACAGCTTTCACTGAAGCTCCCTTATACTGGGCATGCTGTGCTGTCCAAGCAGCAAGGCTGAAGGGGGCAGAGAGAAAGGGGCAGGCTGTGAGTGTGACCTGTGGAGCACAGTGCTGTGGGGCTGGCAGGACTGTGAGTTCTAGTCCCAGAGCAGCTGGGTGTGGGAGGCTATATTTTTTGATGATGGGGTAATGACACTTTCCTTTCAGGGGCTGGCAGCTTGGCTACAAGAGGCATGCCGGAGACAGAAACCTTTAGGTCTCGCTTGTAGTCTGGTGATGAGACCACTGTTGCTGTAGGCAGGGGCTGTAGATTTGAGTCCTCAAAGGCTGGAGTCTTCTGGTCCCCATCTCCTATGTGGGTTCATCTCCACTCTGGTGCCTGCCTAGCAGGTGGGGTCCTGAGGTGAACTGTGATTGCACAGCCAGAGGGAAATTGGGTTCACAGTCCAATTTGAAGATCGAGGCAAGGGTTTTTTTCTGCTTTTTTCTGAGTCCTCCATTGAAAAAAAAGCAGCAAAACCCCTTGCCTGGTGATTCAAACTTCAGATTGGACTGCAAACCCAATAAGAGACGGGGAGCAGAGGACTCCAGTCTTCAGGCACTCAAACCCACAGCCCCTGCCTCCAGCAACAATGTTCTCACCACCAGACTACAAGCGAGACCTAAAGGTTTCTGTCTCCAGTGTGCCTCTTGTAGCCAAGCTGCCAGCCCTTGAATGGAAAGGGTCATTACCCCACCATTAAAACATATAGCCTCACACACCCAGCTGCCCTGGGACTAGAATTCACAGCCTGCACTTTTCTCTTTGCCTTCTTCAGCCTTGCTGTTTGGACAGCACGCCCACTGCAAGGGGAGCTCTAGTAAGACTGCACTTGAATGCTTATACTGTGGCCTAGTGGCATCAGTCTGTTATGGTAGATCTAAACCTGGCTTGTTTGAGCCCTGTGTGAGGTGTTTGCCTGTGAAGCAACACTCTCCTGACAAAACAGCTTTGCTCTCTTGTAGGTGTGGAGTTTCTCTTATGCTCCTCATCCATGAGCTATGTCCTGGGTGCTCATTACAATGGGTCACCAGTCCCACATATTTGGCTCCCTTTGACTAATCTGTGAGGGGAACTGTATTAGGTGTCTGACCTGGAAGTGGATTGCTATGTCTCCTTGCACTGTGATGCAGGCTGGAAGACTGTTTGTGCTCACTATCAACTGTGTTTGTTTCTTTGCTGAGATGCCCTTGGAAATCACACGCAGCTTCATCCAGAACCGGGATGGGACCTACGAGCTGTTCAAGTGTCCCAAAGTGGAAGTGGAGAGCATAGCAGAGACTTATGGACGTCTGGAGAAGCAGCCTATTATCCGGCCCTTGGAACTCAAGACCTTCCTCAAAGTTGGTAGGTGTCTCATGGGTAAGATCCAACTCAGGAACTGGCCTCTCTGAGTTGTCAGCTTGAGTTTGCAGGTATAGAGTTTGGATGCAAGTGTTCTAGTAATTTCTGGGCAAAACTCTAAGCTGTAACCACTGTATAGTGCCACTTAGACAACAGGGTGTTTGATACACAATGAGACAGATCTGCTTCAATGGTGTCTCCTTCTGCATCCCCTCCTCTTCCAGGCAATACATCACCTGACCAGAAGGAACCAACCCCTTTCATTATTGAGTGGATACCCGACATCTTGCCACAGTCCAAGATTGGCGAGCTAAGGATCAAGTTTGAATATGGCCACCACAGGAATGGACACACCACAGAATATCAGGAGCAGCGCCCTTCACTGGAGCAGACGCTGGAGCTGACCCCTTTGACTACCATAACCTTTCCTTGAAATTAAGGCCCAATCCCACTCACAGCTAAATTTGCACAGCCCTGCTTTACTGTCTGCAGGGCTCTCTACTGAACTGCTTTGTAAAGATGAGGCTTTTTGACTAAATAGCCATGGGGCCTACACTAGAAAACAGACCCCCTGCCCTGGCCTTGCTCCCTTCATAAATAGCATTTGGTGCTGCTCTATAGTCTTCACTTGAATGGTGCTGTACTCTGCTGGGGTGTGAACACATCTTTCTGCATTTCCCTGGGACTTGTACATGTTCAAACCTCTGTAGTTTCTCTCACTCCCCTTTGCAGAATAGAAGCATCTGCTGCTGAGTGGAGACAGTGCTCTTCAGTACCACAGCAAGATGCAGATACTGGTAACTACCCTGTGAACTATTGTGGCATAGACTGGTTCTACCAGGTTTTAAGATGCTTTTTTTTGTTTAAAATAAAGCACATGAGAAAATGCGGCTGCTGATTTCAAACCAGCCTTCTGGGAGGAAGAAGAGGAACCACTTTGAGTTAAACCATTCATGTACTCACCTTCTAGCAATGAGGAGAGGGAGTCTTTAGCAGTCAAACTTTCACCTTCACACACCGTTCAGCATTGGTGCTAAAGCTCCGCTCTTTAGACTTAAGATCTGATCCAGAGTCTAAGTCTTTCCATTGTTTTCAGTGGCATGTGGAGCAAACCCTTCACATATCTATGTCTCCTTATTTCTTTTCAGCAATGTTTCTCATGCAGGTAGACCAACAATGCCAGGTTTTAGCTAAACATAAACAGAAGGGTTGTATGGATCAGATAGCCAGAAAAGGAAGAACGCACCTACCTACCTAATCCTACAGAAACCCACTAGGGAATTGAGTCCAAGTGGCACTACAGTCCTGGTCTATCTAAAGCAATAGTGAATATGTTCACAATGAAGAGAGACAATGGGATGCTGCTCTCCAGGTTACTAGTCAGAGAAGACTAGCTGGAGCAGTAGGAGTCTTCTTGCAAAGTGTTTTCTTGAGAAAGCTGGGGTGCCTGGCTTCAGTCTTAAGAGCTGGAGCAAGATTCCAGCATCTAGGTTCAAAATATGCGGGCAACCCTCTTGCAAAGTGAGGTGCCAAAGATGGACATCTATGAGCTAACAAACTTTAGAATGAGATTCCAGGAACAAACGGATTTACCTTTTAACTCCACAGGGGGGCAGCACAAGTCAGGGATGACGAGCATCCTTAGAGAGGATGTCTGCACAAAGAACAAATCACTTTTTAAAACTGCAGTTAGAAGAGTAATCTTCTGCATTATCCCCTGAACACACAGCAAGTCTGGAGAAAGGATCCTGGACCCCCGCAGGCCCTAGACTAGTGCTTACTGTCTAAGCCCTAGATAGTAGCACGTAGCATGTATAATGTTCATACAGGACTCGGGAAACAGATCAAAATTCTAGAGTTCTCTCAACCCTTTCCCTCCTGGGGAGGGAATTTTAAACAAGGGTTCTTTGCATTTTTTGTAAGTGTTCCCCAATCATGCATGCAGTGGGTGAAGTGAGCTCAGCGTGACAACACCTATAGTTTCCCACTGTGTTCACCTTTTTGCCTTCTCTCTATTTACTCTGAGTCCTACTAGACAGAGACAAAAACCTTGCCCTGATCACTCAAGAACAATTAGAAAGGCATGAATGGATAAATGGCTCCCACCCCTCTGCCTGATTCTGGGGGGCACAGCTGTTTCTGACTGCCCAAAAAGCTGGCTGCTGGTGAGTTCTTTGGCTTTCAGCTGATCACCGCATCATTAGATATGTTTCACTAGAGCCTTGACACTGTAGAGGGAGTTGAAATGGTATTGTTGCTTTATCCAAGTCTGGAAAGAAGGAGAGACTAGTAAATAGCTGCCAAGCTAATAGTGGCCAAGGACAGAATTCAAACCCAGGACACTGAGACTGTAAGCCAGTGCTCTGCCCTCCAGGCTAGCAAGCACCTCTGCGCACGGAGCTCTGGGCTGCGCCCCTTGACTCGGTGCCTCTGAGGTGGAACAAGAGCGTTAAAGACTGGAGGCTTTGGTGTCTTTGCATGGGCCCGTGTTAGTCGAGATGAGCAGTCACACTGCTCGCACCCAAAGAGCCACCGTTCCCATATCAGGACTTGACCTCCAGTCTTGCGGCGTGAGAGTGTGGATGGCGAGAGAGAGGAGTTCCTGGGACTAAAAGAATTTGTTATTTTCTTTTTGCTCTTAAAATCGCTGCAGCGTACTTTATTTTCTTCCCAGTGCTCCATGGGGGTGGTGGGGCTGGCTGGGGAGATAGGCGTATCTTCTGAATGCTGACGGGTTTAGGGGAGTTGGGCGCCTGGCTGCTGATCGGGTAAGATTGGGAAACTTTTCGGCCTTCACTGAGACGCAGTTGTTGCCATTGGGGAAGCCTTAAGGTCCAAGATAGAGGAGGCCCTGATGTCTGGTCACCTCCAGGGTCGGGCAGCAGCCGAGTCAGGGTTTTCGGGTAACAGTATTGGACTCAGGCTCCCGGCTGGTGACCTAAGCCCCACTTTACATGCCCAAGGTCCCTTTTTGTTGTGGCTCTGCCCCTGCCTCTCAATCTGCGCCCCACTTCCACGCACCAGGTGTTATGTAACAGGTCCCCGTTTCATGCGGGTGCAGTGATGCTCCCTTGGTTAAGTAACGCAAGGGAAGTGTGAAAGGAGTCTAACATGGTCCTAGGGTCTGCATTAATACAGCAACACAACCCCCTATTTAACCAGCTCCCTGGGAGGGCCAGGGCCCAAGGCCTGTGGCGCACCCTGGGTCTCTCCAGCTGTCTCCCTCCTGTGTCACAGTGATAGTGCAGGGTTTTGTTATTATCTCTATATATTGCACGCTCTCTCTCTCTCTCTCCACCTGATTTGGCTGTACTTGCACCTCTGCCCGAGCCCTGGCCCTCTGGCACTGTGAGTACTACAATGCGGCCAACCTGCTGTCCCTTTAATTGCTGTGGCCAGAGGCACCGGGTCAACAGGCGCAGCCGACAACCTGCTCCCCAGGAGAGCTTGGTAGCCTGGTGGAGAGAGTGCTGGCTTAGTGGCTTTGTATCATGAGTTCAAATCCCACCCTGCCACTGTAAGCAAGTACCCTTCATAAACTGGTCTCTGGGCTGAGCTCTTTACTCCTGGGGCCCCCTGACTCTTTCATTGGCCAGAGGCACTGAGTCAAGAGGCGCACCCGACAGGTCCCTTGGAAGGAAAGCTTGCTGGCTTTGTGGGGTGAGTGCCTCTCTAGAGAGTGGGGATGATGGGTTCAAATCCCACTCTGGCACTGTGAGTAAGCTGGTGTCTGGGAGAAGTTCTTTACTCCCGGGCCCCTGACTTTTTCATTGCTGTGGCCAGAGGCATCGAGATAAGAGGCGCACCCGACAGGTCTCCAGGAAGGAGAGCTTGCTGGCCTTGTGGGTGAGGTGCTGCCTTGAGACACTGGTGTCATGGGTTCTAGTCCTGTGTGTGTCTGGGCCTGGTGAGTGATCCTGAGTGAGCCCAAGACCCATGGCCTGGGTGCCCCCCTAGCTGTGCTGTTTGAGCGCACAGCAGTTGGGGTTGGCTCCATGCTGCTTCTCAGCATGACTTAGGCACCCATGTATACTGTTGTCACATGACCTTTTGGAGGTCACGGAGAGGTCGCCCGGGTCTGGGAGGGCGTCGCCCGTTTTTGGCACTCCCGGTGTACATGTACAGTGTACAGTCATCCAGGTGAACGTAGATGTCCACGTCTCTGGTTTTGAGCCTCCCAGTGACTAAAAGGCATACACATAATCAGTAAGAGACGGACTTCTACGTTCACCTGGATGACTGTACACTGTACATGTACACCGGGAGTGCCAAAAACGGGCGACGCCCTCCCAGACCCGGGCGACCTCTCCGTGACCTCCAAAAGGTCATGTGACAACAGTATACATGGGTGCCTAAGTCATGCTGAGAAGCAGCATGGAGCCAACCCCAACTGCTGTGCGCTCAAACAGCACAGCTAGGGGGGCACCCAGGCCATGGGTCTTGGGCTCACTCAGGATCACTCACCAGGCCCAGACACACACAGGACTAGAACCCATGACACCAGTGTCTCAAGGCAGCACCTCACCCACAAGGCCAGCAAGCTCTCCTTCCTGGAGACCTGTCGGCTGCGCCTCTTATCTCGATGCCTCTGGCCACAGCAATGAAAGAGTCAGGGGCCCCGGGAGTAAAGACCTTCTCCCAGAGACCAGCTTATTCACAGTGCCAGGGTGGGATTTGAACCCAGGATTCCCACTCTCTAGACAAGCACTCTCCCCACAAGGCCAGCAAGCTTTCCTACTTAGGGACCTCTCGGGTGCGCCTCTTATCTCAATGCCTCTGGGCACAGCAATGAAAGAGTCAGTGGCCCCAGGAGTAAATAACTTCTCCTGGAGACCAGCTTACTAATGGCACTTATTCATGGTGCCAGGGTGGGATTTGAACCCATGATTCCTACTCTCTAGACAAGCACTCTCCCCACAACGCAAGCAAGCTTTCTTTCCCAAGGACTTATCAGGTGCGCCTCTTATCTCAGTGCCTCTGGGCCCAGCAATGAAAGAGTCAGGGCCCCGGAAGTAAAGAACTTCTCCCAGAGACCAGCTTATAATCAGTACTTACCCACCATGCCAGAGTGGGATTTGAACCCATGATTCCCAATCTCAAGGCAGCGCCTCAACCACAAGGGCAGCTAGCTTTCCTTGTCAGGCACCTGTTGGGCGCGCCTCTTATCTCGGTGCTTCTGGGCACAGCAATGAAAGGGTTGGGGTCCCAGGAGTAAAGAACTTCTCCCAGAGACAAGTTTATTAAGGGTACTTGCTCACAGTGCTACGATGCCACCTTACCAGCCAAGGCCAGGATTCAAACCTAGGACACTGAAGGCCAGTGCTCTGCCCTCCAGGGTAGCAAGCACCTCTACACATGGAGCGCTAGGCTGCGCCCCTTGACCCGGTGCCTCTGAGGTGGAACGAGAGCGTTAAAGACTGGGGGCTTTGGTGTCTTTGCATGGGCCCGTGTTAGTCAAGACGAGCAGTCGCACTGCTCGCACCCAAAGACCCACCGTTCCCGTATCAGGACTTGACCTCCAGTCTTGCTGACGGAGCAGCGTGGGACTTAGCCCTGAAAACACGCCACCCCCCCAGGCTCCTGGAAACGCTGGCTAATATATGTCTTCTGTTGAGCACACTCCTCCTTGTAGGCACTAAGTGCCCCCGGGTGAGAGCCGCAAAAAGCACAGTAGTTACAGCCCCAGCCTGACTGTTGGTTTTAGTCCTGGGTCTGAACCTCCATGTTTCACTTCCCGTCAGGGGAATGGGTCCAGCTAGGTGAGAGCAGGCAGGAGCACCTCACCC